CAGATCCCCACTCACTGTCTCCATCCCCCCTTGCTTACTTGTGGCTGCTTGCGCTGTCTGTCCCTAAGAACAGGCAGGGAAAAGCTAACCTGCCTGCCTGTCCTCTGCCCAACTGCTGCCAGGCTGCTGCTGCTCCTCTCCAGGCTGAGCCTGGCCCAGAGAGCAGTAGCAGTGGTGGCTGGGCAGGTAGGTTAACTCTTCCTTGCCTGTTTTCTGGGACAGACCGCACTGGCAGCCACAAGTAAACGCAGTGGGGCAGTAAGTGGGGGTCTGGAGTGCTGGATAGGGTGGGGGAGGGGGGCAGTGGGCCTGTCCTGGGCCACTTGGGGAAGGGGGTGGGTGGGTTGTTTACATCAAGGTGTAGCCACTCTAAGCTACATCTTAGTGTAATGCAAGCTGGGTATCATGGATCAGAGAGAATCCTGCCCTGGAGTGGCCCAACTTTGAGCCACATAACAAGGGCTGAAAACTAGTTTTGAGTGTTTGTGTGGACAAACCAAGTGTTAAGAGCTCCAGAGGCCACCTCAAATCGAGGTGTTAAGAGCTCTAAGAGCCACCCAAAATTACCATGTTACAAGGTCCTGAGACTAACAGCTTATTTTACAGACAGCATTAAACTTGCAGATACTTCAGGTCCAACAAGATGAACATAGAATGGACCCAGTTCCTAATTTGGCAAAGCATTTAGCTTGAGCTAGTTCACATTGCTGAATAAGGGTGAAATTAAGCCTTTCAGTTAGTATGTACTCTGTTTAATTGAGGCCCCTTGTTGCTACCAGTGGAGGATGTTGTACCAACTGACTTTGTTCCCTGGAGCTATCCTAATGTCATTTTAACTAATGGCAATATTTTATTCAGCGTCCCAAGTTTCAATTCTTATACTGTATATTTTAACAAAAGACTTTATCAAATTTAAATGAATTAAATATTCATGTGGCCCAACTTTTTAAAGGCTAATTTCATTCAAAATGAATTAAAATCCATAATCAGACCCTTGCATAAAATACTGTAAGAAAACTTCACAAAAAATTGCCTGAAAGGAAAAAAAAAAAGTCAAGAAAGGGTTTAGATAGTACATCCCAATCCCTTTAAGCTTGAAACGGGTGCCTTTTCTTTTAGTGACAAAATCTATATAACTCCTTATCTGATCAAGCAGTCTTCATTCAGTGGTTAGAAAGTGGAAGCTAGTGAGTTTCCCCTGCTGCATTCTGGGGTTTTGCTTCATTTTGTGTTGCCAAGAAATGAGGGCCTCTATATATGTACAGTGGAATACAATCCACTGATCCATTTGAGCTTGCGAGGGGAGTACCATAGACATTAGTGTCTCTCTGTCTGCCTTTCATATGCACACCTTTACATTCACACGCGCATGTGCAACACCCAGGATAAATAAGTTGTGCTACTTTATTTATACTGATAGTTAAAAGCACTTTAAACTAGTAAAGTTATTTCATCTGGAGAGGTAATTAAGCTAATTTGTATAAGGCACTGATCTAACTCTTCTGGTAAGACACAGATATATACCCCTTAATCAAAAATGGGACATAAGTAGACGTAGAGAAGAGACTGTCATCCTTGCGAAAAAGTCCTTTGAAATTCAGAAAAAAAAATGGTACAGCATTTAAGAGTTGACAAGAATCTGATGACTACAAGGCTTCTTCTGAAGATGCTCTTATACTTCACCATGGAGCAAGCTTAATATAAAACATCTGCTGTGCCCAACATCAGTTGTTTCTCTAGAAATAACCCAATCAACTTGGGTAAACATTTTTTTAAATGCCACAAGCTTTAGTTCTTCAGTTATCTGCCCTTTTTTAAATCAAAATCTTGTAAACAAGCAGCTGTACACTGAAATAACAGGGAAGGAAAAAAAACAAGTCTTTAAATTGATGCCGAATTAGATGTTTTTCGCTACTAAAGAAGTATCTAAGTAACACATCTGTTTCAACCCAAAATATCTTCAAAGATACTCTTTCCTCAATCTGTAAATCTTTCTGACATTTTCCTAACAGCACCACTAACTGTGCTAATAGGAGGCAATTAACTAGCCTCTAAACAAGGTTTAGGCTCTCTGACTTCAGCTGAGAGAATATCTTGGAGTTGTGTCAAGAAAGGAAGTCCACTTCTGCAAGAGCATCCACTAGCACTACTAGACCCAAGACTGTGCATTTACCTGAACCAGTTTCTTTCTGTCTCTTCTTTCTGACGTTCATGCATTTCATGTACCACTATTAACACATTGTGTAGGTTTCAAATGTAGGTATACAAGCATACATTCATAGATGGTAGGGTCAGAAGGGACCTCAGCAGATCATCGAGTCTGACCCCCTGCCTAGGCAGGAAAGAGTGCTGGGGTCACATGACCCCAGCCAGATGCCTATCCAGCCTTCTCTTAAAGACTCCCAAGGGAGGGGAGAGCAATACCTCCCTTGGAAGTCCATTCCAAATTTTGGCCACCCTTACCACGAAGAAGTTTTTCCTGATATCTAACCTAAATATGCTCTCTGTCAGTTTGTGACCATTGTTCCTTGCTACCTCAAGAGGTGCCCTGGTAAACACAGCATCTCCGATCCCTTGCTGCATCCCCCTAATGAATCTGTAGGCAGCCACAAGATCACCTCCCAGCCTTCTCTTGCGGAGGCTGAAGAGGTCCAAGTCCCTCAGTCTCTCCTCATAGGACTTGTCCTGTAAGCCCCTAACCATACGAGTGGCCCTCCTCTGGACCCTCTCCAGTCTATCAACATCCTTCTTGAAGTATGTCACCCAAAACTGGACACAGTACTCCAACTGCGGTCTGACCAATGCCGCATAGAGGGGAAGCATCACCTCCTTGGTTCTATCTGTCATGCATCTGCTGATGCATGATAGAAGTGCAGTTAACTTTGCTGATGATTTCGTCACACTGACAACTCATGTTTATCTTGGAGTCCATTATGACTCTGAGATCCCTTTCTGCTTCTGTGCTGCTGAGATGGTCACTTCCCAGCCAGTAGGTGTGCTGGATATTTTTGCTCCTTAGGTGCAGCACTGTGCATGTGTACAGCATCCTATTGTGTACTGCCCACTTTTCTAACCTGTCCAGGTCTGCCTGCAGTTGTTCCCTACCCTCTGGAGTGTGCACTTCGCCTCACAATTTAGTATTGTCTGCAAACTCGGGCAGAGTACACTTCACACCCACATCCAAGTCACTGATGAAGCTATTGAAGGGTACGGGTCCAAGGACCGAATCCTGCAGATCCCACTACCCACATCCTTTCAGGTCAATAACAACTCATCTACTACCACTCTCTGGGTGTGACCACTAAGCCAATTTGCCATCCACTGGACCATGTAATCATCTACATCACAGCCTCTTAATTTATTTACCAGAATGGGATGAGATAATGTATTGAAAGCCTTGCTAAAATCCAAGAAAATGACATCCACCTCTACTCCTGTGTCTAAGCATTTTGTGTCCCTGTCAAAAAGCGAAACCAGATTGGTCAGGCATGATCTAACTGATGACCCCAGCCAGATGCCTATCCAGCCTTCTCATAAAGCTGCCCAAGGTAGGGGAGAGCACCACCTCCCTTGGAAGCCCTTTTTAAATTCTGGCCACCCTCACCGTGAAGTTCTTCCTGATGTCTAACGTAAATCTGCTCTCTGTCAGTTTGTGACCATTGTTCCTTGTTAACCCAAGAGGTGCCCTGGTGAACAGAGCATCTCTGCTTCCTTGCTGGCCCCTCTAATGAATTTGTAGGCAACCACAAGATCACCTCTCAGCCTTCTCTTGCAGAGGCTGAACAGATCCAGATCCCACAGTCTCTCCTCATATGGCTTGACCTACAAACTTTTAACCATATGAGTGGCCCTCCTCTGGACCCTCTTGAGGTTATCCACATCCTTCTTAAAGTATGGCACCCAAAACTGGATGCAGTACTCCAATTGTGGTCTGACCAGTGCTGCATAGAGGGAAAGTATCACCTCCTTGGATCTATTCGTCATACATCTGCTAATGTATGATAAAGTGCAGCTAGTTTTGATGATGATTTTGTCACACTGACAACTCATGTTCATCTTGGAGTCCCCTATGATTCCAACATCCCTTTCTGCTTTTGTGCTGCTGAGAGGGACATTCTCCAGCAAGCAAGTGTGCTGGATATTTATACACCCTAGATATAGCACTCTGAATTTGTCCTTGTTGAACTTCATCCTGTTGTATTCTGCCCACTTTTCCAACCTGTGTAGGTCTGCCTGCAATCATTCCCTACCCTCTGGTGTGTTCACTTCACCCCAGAACTTAGTATCATCTGCAGACATGGACAGAGTATACTTCATGCCCACATCCAAGTCACTGATGAAGACATTGAAGAGTACTGGTCCAAGGACTGCGCCCTGTGGGACCCCACTACTCACATTCTTCCATACCAACCCATCCACCACCACACTCTGGGTGTGACTCCCAAGCCAATTTGCCATGCACTGGACTGTGTAATCATCTAAGTCACAGCCTGTAAATTTATTTATGAGAACGAGATGAGGTACCATATTGAAGGCCTTTCTAAAATCCAAGTAAATGACATCTACCTCTACTCCTGTGTCTAAGCATTTTGTGACCAAGTCATAAAAAAAACAAAATTAGTCAGGCATGATCTACCTGCTATGAATCCATGCTGCTGCATTATTTTTCCTGCTGGACTCCCATAAATACGATCCTTAATTTTTAAAAAAACTTTTCCAAGTATGGAGGTGAGACTAACTGGTCTATAATTACTCAAATCCTCCTTTCTCCCCTTCTTGAAAATAGGGAGCACATTGGCCCTTTTCCAGTCCTCCGGGACCTGACCCGAGCACCATGAGTGCTCAAACAGCCATGCTTTGCTATGAATAAGGTCTAAATCCTGCATGTCCCTTAATGAAGTCCCTGAGGAATAAGATGAGGATCCAACATTCTCATGCCCCAGGACCAGTAAAGGCAGCGTGTCAATTAGTGGAGTTGGTAATGTTATCTTTTGGGATGAGAGGAACTGGAAGCTCAGTCTTTGACCCTGTTCCTTTCCAGTCTTCCACTGAGCACGTACAAGGTACTCATTTAAAGGATGGTAGAACTTCCAATCCAGTGAGCCCCATACTGAGTCCTCAGAAAGAGAGTTTCTATTTCTGTCCCCAAACCCTGTTTTGAGTACTCAGAAGGTGAATGACCAGAGGAGTGCAAGGCCTCTTTCCTTGTTTCTTTGTGTATTCAATAACTAATCTCCTTATAAAAATATTGGATTGTTCTGGCAGTTTAAGTAAATGTGAAAAAGCCTATAGCAGTTGGCTTCTTCAGAGATTATTAATCACTTGAAATCATGCTGCTCTTTGAATAATAACAGCTGGAAATTAATGGCTTAGCTATTTTTTGAAAAAGAGTAGAGAGTGGCTCCAAACTAATGATTTTCTTTATCATTCACATGATTTTGCCAAGTCTTCAAGACCTGGTTGATTTTCATAAAGGATAAGTAGTTCTGTTTACAGCTAAGGTTAAGGATATCTTCAAAGGATGTTCCAAAGTTTGGGTAATTAGACCCAAGGATTCCCAAGATACAGCCCCATTTAAGAACAAAACAAAACTGTAACTTTTTTTGTGCAGAGGGGAATCTAGCCATGCCTTTGTGGCAGAACTGGTGTCAGTCACTCAAAGCTAACTCCAACTAGTGCTTGGCACCCATTTCCACTTGGAAGTGGAACATGTTGGCAGCAAAAGAATGACAAGAGATCAGTGTGGCTGCACAAGGACCTTCTAAAATGCCTCAAATGCAAAAGAAAAGCATACAGGCAATGGAAGAATGGGCAGGTCACCAAGGAAGCATACCAGGGAATAGCCAGAGCCTGCAGGGACAAAACCAGGAAGGCAAAGATAAAGAATGAGTTGCACCTGACAAAGGAGGTTAAGGACGAGAAGAAGATACTTCTGTAAGTATGTTGGCCAGAAAAGGAGGACTAAGGAAGCTGTGAGTCCTCTGTTAACAAGCCAGGGGAAATGTCTTGCTGAAAGGCAAGGTAGAGATGCAAAGGTAAATCTACTCAGCAACTACTTTGCCTTAGTCTTCACAAAATCCCCTAATAAGGATTATCTGAATAAGGAAGGGGGCAAGCTGAGGAAGAAGATAACAAGAGACAGTCAGAGAGCTTGTGTCGGATTCAAGTCGGCAGGGCCAGATGAGCTTCATCCTAGGATCTGGCAGAGGAGATCTCAGTGATTTTGGCAATGATCTTCATGAAGTCATGGGAGATGGGCTAGGTATCAGAGAACTAAACAAGTACCCCTCTTTTAAAAAGGCAAGAAGGAGGACCCTGAG